TCTCTCTCTCTCTCTCTCTCTCTCTCTCTCTCTCTCTCTCTCTTTCTCTCTCTCTCTCCTCTGACCCTCCTTCTCAGGTCCTGACCAAGGAGATTCTGAAGTATTCTCATATAGTGATAACCAATCTCTAACCAGAGTTGCCTCTGAAAATTTCAACTTTGGAAATTTATTTACCAGAATTAAATTGAAATCATGATCCTTTTCAAAACACAAGCATTTTGATGACTTTAATTCTAGAATTTAACACAAATCCCCTTGACTTGAGACCTTGATTTTTTTACTGTCCCTCCCCAAAAAATTATATGCCTCAAAGCCTCTACTCTACTGGTTGCCAACTCCATTTGGTCTTGGTTCCTACTCCTAAAGATACCTAAGTTTTCCTTTCCTGCACAAGTCAATTCAACAAACATTTGTTAAGAACATACTATATGGATATTTTCATAGGGTCCTGTAATACATTGACTAAAATGAAACAATCCCTGCCTTCAGGGAGTTTACATTTGACTCATTAGGAGTGGGGAGGAAATGAAAAAGACACATAAGTAAGTAAATGCATAGTAGATACAAAGAAATACAAATTAATTTCTATTTTGCCAATTATTTTTTCTATTCAGGTCATAAATTCTGTTCTCATAATTCTCATTTTTCTTTTAAACCACTCAGGAATAGTATGTTATGGTTTCATGTTCTTAAAGTCTACAGAGTCTTTTGTCTTATCAAGTATTGAATTATTGTCTTTTTTAAATATTTATTTATATATGTCTAAAGTTGTTTACTAGATCTGGAGGTCATATTTTCTCCTGCTGTTAATGTTTTCCCTGTTGATTTATCTGCTTATATTCAAGGCTTTTGAGTTGTCTTCTTCCTGATATCTTTGTTAATATCAATCTGTCCCCACCCCCTTCCATTTTCTTCTGTTGCTCATTTTCTGATTCACTCCCCTCTGATTGTGATTTTACTGGAGCTATATCTCAAAGAATCTTAGCCTCCTCTCACATTGGGCAATTCAAAATTCCCTAATCTAGGTCTTTGTCCAAAGAGATTTTTAAGGTGAGAGAAATCGCCCCAGCTGGATATTGGGCTTTTTCATTCAGGGTTAGTAGTGTCCTACGGCTCGCCTTCTTGTTGGTCATGTGACCCAAACACAAATTAATTTCCAAAGAAATAAAATTTTAATAAATGGGGAAGTCAGGCAAAGACTCATGCAGGAGGTGATGCTCTATCTGTGCTCTGAAGGAAGTTATAGATTCTCTGAGTTAGATGAGAATGGCAAGTCCATCTCAAGTATGAGGGACTGACTCCCACCAGTTTTCCAGTTCCTTTTCATACAAAGTGCCTTTAAATCTACACATTTATGAATTTAGTTTGTTTTTAATGATTAAGACAGAGAAGATAATTGTATAGTGAAATAAACATTTATCACCCTGAAATCATTCAAGTAATGAGCTTCTCCCCAAATAGCTAGGGTTGACTGTGGACAACAGGCAACATTCTGTCATGGGTATAACAAAATTCTAGAGATGTCTGTACAACAAGATTTTTTTGGTTCTAGGATATGCATGACCTACAATCTGATTCCCATATATGTGACATTCTTTCTTCCACTTCCATGCCTTTGTTCTAATTTCCTAAGATGTACTTGCCTTTTTAATTCTGCCTTTTAGAATACTGACCTTATTCCAAAGCACAGCTTACAAATCACCTCCTGAAGGACCCCTTTCACTGTTTCTTCAGTTAGTTCTTTCTCAGTATTGAGATTACTTTGCATTACTTAATATATGCTTTATACAAAGCCCATGCCTTCAGTTAAATGAAAGCATCAAGCACTTTTTTTTTTTTCCGGCATTTGTTTAGGTAGCTCCTGGCAAAGTACCTATAAATGATTGTTGACTCTGGATGTCAGCAACTTTGTTATTGGTTAGTTTAAGCTGTTATTAACTAGCTGTGTAACTTAACTGAGGGAAGGAAACTCTGAGGGATTCAGATCCTTATCTACAAAAATTAAAGGATTATATTAGAAATAGGAGGAGGGTGCAAAATATACATTGCCATAGAAATATTGGCTTTTAGAACTTTTATATGTGGAATAGAGCAATATGAGTAAATGATTACTCGGTAACCTATATGGTAAAGCCCAGATAAACATCATCTGACAAATTTAGAATACCTCTGCCCACATAGTGAAAGCATCTCCAAATATCAAAAGAAGTATGTAGGAAACAAGCATATCCATTATTCATTATCAGGGGTTCTAATTGAGTCTACAATTCAGTGTGATGGCCATATTATTTTGATACTTCCTTGTAATAAGTTCTCTAAGGACTCTATCCTTTTTCTCATGGTTGCATAATTCTCTCTACTCCCCAATTTATATAACTCCTAACAATTACCTCAGTCCTCTTACCCTTCACAAATGTGATGTTTATTCCTACTCTATCCAACAAACATTTATCAGACAGTTATTACATGAAAGGTGCTATGGGATACACTCTGTGGGTATGAAGATGTATTTAAAACAAAAACAGTTCTTACCATCAAGAAGTTTACAATCTAATAGGAGGAAACAATGTATACATTAGTAAATGTAATACAATTTATTATGTGATTGGTGAAAGGAAATAGCCAGAAAAAATGAAAGAAATATTGAGGAGGAAGAGATCATTTTCAAATTTGGGGAAAGGGGAAAGGTTCATGGACAAGATGATTCTTGAGCTATGCTTTGAAGGAAAGGAAATATTCCAACTAGCAGATATGTTGAAAGTGGGGAGAGGTCATCTGTCTCCTTGTGCTTCTCTTCCTTTTCCTTGGAATGTCCTGTCCCCCTCACTTAGCCAATCTAAAACCTACTGTCCTTTCACGGTTGAAGTAAAATTTGCTCTTCAGTGAAGCTTTCCTTCACTAACCATATCTCAAAGTGACATTTTTCTTTGCTATATTACACAACTGATAGTCTGCATCAGATAATCTTGTAGTGGTTTGTACTGTGTCCCATATTGTTTTCTTCCTGGTTTGTAAATACATGTTCAGTCCCCTAAAATCCTTGACTGGGACTTTACATTCAATAAGGGTAGTTTTTATGTTCCTTTCTCTGCCCAGAATGGCCAAATAAAGTAGACAAATAGGTGTTAAGTAAATATTTTCAAACAGGTAAGCAAATGAATGAAAGAAGTCAGTGAAACAAGTCTTACCTTTCGGAAGATTTGTTCTATGTGGCAACACCAAGAATACTGTTGGAAAGAATGGATGAGCTCCATAATGAAGATGGAGCCATTTTTAGGGTCTCTCCAAGACTTATTATCTAAAAAGAAAAGAGATTTTAACCATCAAGTGCCATGAGCCTCACCTAGACAAAGAGATATTAGGATCTACAACTTAGAGACATCTTAGAGGTGGCTAGGTGGCACAGTGGACAGGGAGCTTAATCTGAAGTTCAGAAAACCTGAGTTCAAATGCAGCCTCAGACACTTTCTAGTTTCATGACCCTGGGCAAGTCATTTCACCTGCCTCCATTCCCTCAACTGTAAATGAAAACAATAATAGTACCTCCCTCAAAGGATTGTCAAGGGGATTAAATGAGATAACGTTTGTAAAAGCAGTTAGCACAGCAACTGGCACATTGTAATAATTGCATAAATGCTTATTTCCTTCTTCCCTTTCTCTTCTTCCATTAGGCTTAGGTAGAAGAACACAAAGCAATATCCTTGAATTAGCACAGTGACCCACAGACAAAGTATACCAAAACAGACAGAGGTTGTCTGAGCCTGTAAGACCGGTCCTGTAAGAATGATCCCCATGTTAGGGAGCCTGGTCAAGATAGGAGATTGGATATTGATAAGTTCAAGAACCTCATGAAACTTAGGAGAAGGAGTAAGATTGTAAAAAGCATGGATGACATTGGTCTTGGCAGTGCAATATTCTTTTTTTCTATCACCATTCGGGAGAAATTCTTCTATTCTCTGGTGGTCTCTTTTTAACATTATCCTATTCTGGTTGCTCTCAAGTACTAATCCTGAAATCATCCTAACCAGAAAGCATACTGTTACTGAGTTTTGACTTGTTTATTGCCCTGGTCCCATCTCAAGCATTAAAACCTAGCAGCTCACGTGTGTTCTCTGCCTCCTGCAGATTGAGAACAAAAGTGTTTCTTTGAGAGTCACATAATAATAGACTCACTGCAACTAGTCAAGTGTAATATCAATTGTGTCTACCTTGGCCCATTCCCTACCTCTATGAAATACTTTTTTCTTTACTTTTCATTGTTATACTCATCATCTTGTATAAAACTAACCTATAACTAAACTTTAGGAAATCCTACTTAATAAATCATACTGGAATCCACCATTCCTTCAATTGTGTTTACTCTACCCTATGCACTTAGCAAATACTCTCTTAATTTGTAAATACTACTGCTTTGCTTGCTAAGTGTTTTATTATAGTTTCATAAAATGATCTCCTATCCACAGCCAGGTTGTAAACTCTGTGGGTAACTATACAAACATAAAAGCATGTATTGTGAAAATATATATATGCATGCATGCATTGCATGGTGAATATAATATACAAATATGCAAAAATGCATATGTACACATATAGATACATGAGTGTATATATGTACACATACAAATATATGTATATTTCCTTTAATATTTATTGAATGACTGATCTATCACTTGAAAAGAAAGCATGCAATAAAGGTGTCTGGAGCATTTGATAACTCAAATATGGGTAATATGGCAAGGAAAACATGTGATCAGTAGAAAAGGAAACTAGGAGATCTACTTTTTTTTATTTTAATTTTTTTTGCATTTTCTAAAAATCCTAAGGTTTTCTATCCTGCCCCAAATAGGTTGGATCTGTTGTACAAGGACACTCTAGGCTTAGTGACTTACGTGGAGTTGAGGAGCAGAAAGTAATGAAGTCCTTTTCTAAATGGGCCTTCTGGACAGAGTCATCCTCAAAGACTTGCAGTTGACTTTGGCTGTCTTCAGCAATTTCTGGGGCATCACTCGCCCACGTAAATCCATGGTTCACTGAGTAAATGGAAATTCATTGTTTGTACCATCTCCATCTTTTTCACAGTGTTGAAGATGTAAGTTTTTGTTTTTATTTTTATTATCATTATTCTCCAAAACACAACAAGACCCATAAGGAAATTGAGGGCATTAGGACAGCAAGTGGTTAACCGTATTGTGTGAACCACACTGACTCCATCTTGTGACTGAATTCTGGGGCTAGCTTAGTTCCCTTTATATTCAATAATGGGTGTAGTCCAACTTCTGTCTTTTGAAAAAACTTCATTCAATTGTGGGAATTGGGAGAAAACCTTATTGCATTGTTTAAATCTAGCCCTTCATTGTTAGAAAACTGGACCACCCCCACCTGCTGCTTAGAGACTCTTAACTAAGGACCTAGGCTATGCTGATCAGACACCTGATTAGATTCAAAGAATAATGACAAGAGTTTTCTCACAAGAGTTTACCTCTCAAGTATCCCATATATCTTATCTGAAAACTAGCCCCATACTGATCAATCAATTATTGTTTTCATGTTCCTTTAATTGTTCCCAGACACTTGGGGGGGTGGTTAAGACACCTCTTTTTTCTGAATTCAGGGAATTATACCTGTTCACTCTCCCCCTCCCAACTCTTTCAATCATTTAGAAATCAGATTACCTAGTATTGTATTGTTTCCTTTGGGCCTTATTTGATTATTATTTGATTGTTTTTAATGTATAAAAATCTGCCTTCTCCTATATTCAGAGTCCAGCCCTAAGCTGAAGAAAGGGCCTGGTCCTGATTTGTTATGCAATTGTCATGCATTGCTTAATAAATTGATATGCTTGGAAGATCTGCTTCCTCAGTAATTTCATCTTTCACTAGCCACAACATGGACTATTCTTTCCCACTACTTTCTCATAAACTTATAGCTCTTAAGTTGGAAGAGATATTAGAGGTCATCTAACTTAACCCTCTCATTTCACAAATAATGAAACTGAGGCCACAGAGAAATTAAGGGGCTATCCCACAGTAAGGGGGAAAGCCAGTATTCAGATTCAGGTCCCCTTTCTACAAATCTATTACTCTTTTGAATGCATCACATTACTCTTATCTAAAAGATCACTAAACTGGGTAAACCATATTAATTTTGAGTGTTAGCCTTTCAGAAGTGAAAGTTATTCAGTGCCTAGGAAGAGTAAGACAACTTTTTGATAGCAGATAGATCCTGAGGCACAGAATTCTAGAGTTGGAAGAAACCCCAATGCTTATCTAGTTCAATCAATATGTGACAAAAAATACCTTCTAAATCATCCAGAAGTGGTAATGTACACTTACCCTCAACACTTCCAGGAAAGAGGAAGTCACCCACTCTGCGCCCATTTCACTTTTGTACATCTGTTATTGTTAGGAAGGTTGTGTTTTATTGTACCACCCCCAAACATCAAGCTTTAAAATGATCTCTTCAACTAAGTGTCCCCACAGAAAAAATATCCTGCCAATAGTCCAGATTACTTCCCATAATGATTGTCCACTGAGATGAATTTCTAATGAATTATATATAAAGAATTTGATACAGTTAATTTCAATTTCACTAGGGATTAAGTCATGGATTGGGTCTTGTCAGCTGTCACCTTCAATAGAAAAAGAAAATAGCACCATTCTCAGTACAAAGAAATTATCTAGATATTAATCAGAGTAATCAAACATAGTACTCACGTCCACGACAAGCCTGGATTATGATGACCTTGGGTTTATCTTTCAAATTGATGCAATTCTTAGTGTTTAGAATTTGGAATATGGTGTCATAAGCAAGCAAATCTGGATCATCTTTGTGATGATTTTTCCCACAAATTCTATCCAGAAGACCATGAGACATGAACACAACAAAAGTGCTATCAGATGATATGTGCTCAGGGCGGGCAGCAAACTTTCTCAGGGCTGACTTCATTTCCTAGGAGAAATTAACAAAGTCACTCACCTGCAACATTCAGTAGTAACCTACTAACATAAGGTAATACAATCATGGACTTTAAAAGAACTGCTAAATCTTGTTACATAAAATGCAGTATCCATAGATTTTGACTGGATCATACTTATTTCTTCATCTCCTCTTTTTTTAAATTAAACATGTGTGTATATATATATATGTATATATATATGCACACATATATATACATGTATACACACATAAAATTCTCTTTACATATAAATGTACATACATACATATATACAAACACACTTATTGTATGTAAGCCACGATGTTAGACAATGAGGATATAAAGATGAAAATGACACAGTTGCTGACTTCGATTTCCTCTTCTGTAAAATGGATTCCTGACCAGGTGATATCTAAGGTTCTCTCCAACTCTAAATCTATGACCTTATGTTCTTATAGAGAAACTATAATATGAATACAATTAGTGATGATGATACTCATAAAAATAGCAATAAAAACTAGCAATCTTATAGTGCTTTGTGAAGCACTTCACAAATATTCTTCCATTTTATCCTCACAACAACTCTGCAAGGGAGATTTTTTTTATTATTATTATCCCCATTTTATAAAATGAAAGAGGTAAACAGAAGTTAAGTAACTTGACCAAGGTCACAAAACTATTAAGTTTCTAAGGCTGGATTTGAACTCATCATCCTGATTTCAGGGCCAGGGTTCTTTCCACAGTGTCATCTAAGCTAAAAGGTAGAATAAAATAACAACAGAGAGAGTCAGTAAAATGGAGAACATTTTCAGCTTCAGAGGATTTTTCTTTCTTTATCTTCCCTTTTTCTCTTTCTCAGCAGTAATAAATTAAACTTATTTAATTCTGTATTTCTACTTCCTAGTAGAAATACTCTCAAAACCAGTTCTGAAGCTGAAATGTAGAATTACAAAATATAAAGTTTTAGGAAAGACATAAAACATGACTGACCCCACCCTTTCTCTTTATCACCATGTCCTCTCTGAGTCTACCCATCTTTCCAAATCAGACACATGTACAACTGTGTATGAATTAGTAGGAACCAAGTAAAATGATTATAGTTATTGACATGGATTATTTATAGGCAGTAGGGAAGTAACCAGTAGAGAGGGAGAGATTAAAGAGAAGTGAGAAAATGCACATGACAGAGGGGAAAATATGCTAGAGAAAATGGAATATAATGGTATTTCTTGTGCTGGTAGAAGGTTGGCAAGAAGGGCTACCAAATTATGTGAGAGAGGGGTGAAGGAGGAAGAAATAATGGCATAAGGCATCTAGGTGATATGAGTTGAGAAGGAAGAGAGAAGAGTGAGCTCTTGATGAATGACCTCAATTTTTCAGTAAAATTTTAGGCAAGGTTCTCAGCTAAAAGAATTGGAAGAGTATGAACCATAAGAGGTTTGAAGAGGGATAAACAAGTATGTAAAAGATGCTGTGATGAGGGAGAGAGTGAGTTAATTAGAGAGGTGTAAAAAGATTGCCTGTAGCAGTAAGGACCCATTTCAATTTATATAACATCAATTTGTGGTAGAACCAATCAGCATGATTTTATGATTTTCTCTAGCTTTTTTAAGCAATGCATTTAGCAGCATATAGGAGCAAAGGGAACAGAAACTGGAAGTGATCTGAGAGTGAGACTTAGCAGGGCAAGATTAGTGAAAGAACAAAGAAGCAAGGAACTCAAAGAGAGGAAAACAGTATAGAGTTGAAGGGGTTCACTAAGAGGTTATGATGCAGAAAGGAGAGTGTAGCTTGGGTATGGGTGATGCCCTGGGAGAGAGGTAGGAGAGTTGAGCAAGGAATTGGAGATTACACTGTGGAGAAAGAATAGGATTTGGAGTTGGAAGGCACAGAGAGTGAGAGATGTAATTATGATGCACTATGATCAGATAAGGAAATTTCAGAGTTCATGAACATGCAAGTGATGCATTTGTAGATGATGGCAAGATTAAGTGTATGACTATCTCTGTGTGTGAAGGAGATAAAGTTGAGGTCATGTGAAATGAGTAAATTGACAAAATATGAAGTTAAGGAGCATCTATACATATGGTAGGGGGACATTCTGGGAAGATGGAAGAGTAGAAATTTCTAAGCTCTCCAGATTTCCTCCACAAACAGACAGAAAACCACCACTAAGTGAACGTAGAGCAGCAAAAAATAAAGGGGTAAAGCAGCTGTCCTCTTAAGACAACTTGAGAGGACCTCAGAAAAGACAACCACTTCAGGTGCTGAGGTTTGGCTTAAGTGACGTCTAGACACCTCCAGGCTCACTCAACTGTATTAACAAACAGTAGGCCCTGAAGGCAGCTCTTTCTGGAAGCAGACTAGGCCTCAAGAAATTTCACCTCATGAACTTTCACCTCACAAACTTTCATCTAAGGAACAGCAGAGGGCTGAATGGGGGAAGATTGAAAACAGAGTTCTTGGAAGAACTTAAAAAGGAATTTAAGAATCAAGTAAGGGAGATTGAGAAAAAATTAGGGGAAAAAAAGCAATATAAAAAAAGTGTGAAAAAGAAGTTAACCAGTTGGAAAAAGAGATAAAAAAATCTTAAGGAAGAAAATAACTCCTTGAAAACTAGAATTGGGCAAGAGGAATCACATGACATTATAAGACACCAAGAAATAATAAAACTAGAAAAAATAAAAGAGGATCTGAGATTCTCATTAGAAAAACAACTGATCTGGAAAACAGATTGAGGAGAGACAATATGAAAATTTTCAGACTACCTAAAAGTTATGACCAAAAAAAAAGAATCTGCAAATAATATTATAAAAAAATATTAAGGAATATTGCCCTAAAGTTCTAGTAGAAGAGGTTAAGTAGAAATAGAAAAAATCTACCATTCACTACCTGAAAGAAGTCCTGGAAGGAAAACTTACAGGAATGTCATAGCCAAGTTTCAAAGTTCCCAGGTTAGGGAGAAAATATTGTAAGCAACAAGGAAAAAAATTAAATACTGTGGAAATACAGTCAGAATTTCACAAGATCTAGCAACTTCTCTTCTAAAAGATCATAGGTCTTGGAACATTATTTTAGAAGAGCAAAAGAGCTGGGGTTGCTTCTAAGAACAACTTACCCAGAAAAATTGAGTATAATCCTGAATGGAGGGAAAAAAATTAAAACAAAAACAAAACATGGACATTTGATGAACTGACTTTAAGGTATTTGTAACAAAAAGACCAGAACTCAATGGAAAATTCAATATAAAAGATCCAGAAGAAATATAAGGAAAATGTTAAAGATTAACTGTAAGGTACTCATTAAATCAAACTATTTACTTATTATGTATATGAAAATGTTTTAGTATTTTTAAAACTATCATCATTACTAAGGTTGTTTGAAAGTTTGGGGCTGAGTTGTATTTGATGGGGTGATTCTAAAAAAGCAAAATTGGGTAGAAAAGGTAAAAGGGAGACATTACATTACAAAAATAAGGTGTGAAAGGAGGAACTAATACAGAAGAATCAGGTATAGATGCAAGGCTGGTAATGCTGGAACCTTAGTCTCATCTGGTTTGAAGAAGAAACAACATCTGGAAGGGTGTAGAAGTCTTCTAGACATATAGACAGGTGAGAAAACTGTGGGACAGGACATGAGAGGGACTTTTACAGGGGTATGTAGATTGGGATTTGGAAGGGTAAGGGGAGAAGATGGAGGAGGGACTTTTGGAGGGGTGTGTGGCTTGGGATTGGGAGAGTAGAAGGAGAAGGTAGGGGCAGGACTCTTGGAGGGGTGGATGGGATAGGTAGTGGGAGAGTCGGGGGAGAAGATAAGGTAACAGGGATAAGGTAAAAAGAGGCTGAGAAAGAAAAAAGTAAATAAAAATAAGATGGAGAGAAATTCACAAATAGTAATTGTAACTTTGAATGTGAATGGGAGGTTTATAGTAGCTCTCTTTTTTGTGGCAAAGAACTGGACATTGAAGGAATCCTACTATGCTATAAGAAATTATGATCTTAATGATCTTACAAAGACGTGTAAAGACTTGCACAAAATAGTGAAGAGCAAAATAAGCAGAACAAAGAGAACATTGTAAACAATAATAGAAATTTTGTTTTGAGAATGACTTTTACCAACCAAATCATTTTGACTATTATAAATACACAAATTAAAAAAGGACATATGAAGAGAGATACTATCTGCATCCAGAGAAAGAACTGATATATAGAAATATATATATAATTTTACATGTATAGATATAGATGTAGATATAGCTATTTGTATCTAATCATAGTCAGCAGGGCAGGGGAGGAGGGAAAGGAAAAAGAGAAAAAAGAAATTTACATGGTAACTTTATTATATATTCAAAAGGAATAGCATTTTGTACATAACTGATTTACAGTTTTATATGTAATAATCTTTTTGTTATACTGTGTTATGGAAATGCTTGTTTTATTCCATAAATTAAAAATAAAATAAAAGAAATATATGTGGTAAAGTTCTCTAGTATGAGGGCAGGAGTTGAGGAAAAGAGAAAAATTGCAGACCAAACACTGAAATCATTGACAAAAGAAGGGGAGTGTCCTGAAGGTCAGACTACCAGAATTTTGAATGGATGGTAAATATGGATTTAGTGGCCCTCAAAGAAGGAGAGGTTACTAAATGGTGGTGGTAAAGGGAAAACCTGAAAATACAATATGGAGTAGGCAACATTCCAACTCTTCCATCTCTATCAGTGAATCTTTAATCTAACTGCTTTTATACTGCCTACAAGCATGTCCATGTTTCACTCATCCACCAAAAAACCCCAAACTTGATCCATTCAACCATGTTAATTATCATCCTATATCTCTCCTACACTTTGTAGCTAAACTCCTAGAGAAGACCATCTATAATAGGTGCCTCTATTGCCTTTCCTCTCAACCTTCTTGACTCTCTAAAGTCTGGCTTCTGATCTCATCAATTCACCTGAAACAGCTGATTCCAAAGTTACTAATTTTCTCTTATTTGCAAAATCAAATGCCTTTTTTTT